ACCTCCCTCGATTACATTGATACATTTTGCAATCATTTATGCGTGGAATGAGTGGTTTTTTTTTTATTTGTTAAATATTGGGGGTTTTGGCTATGATGACAAGTATCATTTCTCGATGCTGATTATACCAATTTTTTTTTACATTTGGGACCAAATCCTGATGACTTAATTTGTGCGTGTCTGAGCCATTTACTTCCCCGACTAAATTAACTAGTTCTATTTTGATTGCAATTCTTGTCAAAATTCAATTTTTCTTCAGGTTTTCCTTCTAATCCAAAATGATTTGATTGAAAATTTGAGTTATTTTAGCTAATGACCTTTATGGGTTTCTAAGTAACGCTTGCAATCGATAGGAGTATCTTGAATTTATAAAGTTTAATCAACCATTAACCTTTAACCATGAAGGGAAAGGTTCTGTGATTATAAGAAATTCCGCGTTCTGAATGCTGATCTTTATTAGTATAACAGACTCTTATGCACCCATAGAATATGAGCAGCATGATTCTTGCAATCGTGTATTTTTACTTAATCATGTTTGTTATAGTTGTAATTTTAGTGTATGCATCTTATTTTTAAAGCTTTTGTCCATTTTTTTTTGCAGGTTTTTAATCTAAATTCTTGAAGTTCGCTTCCGTTCAGAGTAGCTTTTTAAGGGAAAATTTTGGAACACTGGTAAGGCTGAGTAGTTGTTGTTTTTTTTTTTTTTGTGAATAAAAATGCGATATTGATCTCTAATTACATTAACTCTATGGATTGATATTTTTAATATTATTTTGGTCAGTTAATTATGATTTTTGTAGCTCTTAAATCATATGCTAGGAAGTATGTCATTAGAGAATCTTAAAGACTCAATCTGAACTTGCTGAGAACCATGTAGAGTGATATTAGTGGTATAACTATACAAACATTCGTCGTTCTGATTGCTATTAATAAATGAGTTCTCTAACGGTGTCCTCGGACACCTGTTAACATGGCTTATCCATTTTCATTACTTCCTAAGAAGCTACGTCTCTATGTTTCCCACTTATTCTCTCTCTTCTTCCTTCAACTTTAGCATTTGTCTTCTTATTAGTAACAAATTTAAACTAAATAATCCTCTACAGCAAAAAGAAGAGACTCAATTTGTAGTACCTTCAAGGTAAGTATATTATAATTTTTAATTTTCTAATAACTTTTTATATAAAATAGTTATTGACATGTTTGTTTATTTTTTTTATTATGTGATAATTTGATAATAGGTTGAGGTCCAACATGATCAACGTCGCTTCCAACATGATCCATCCATCGATTATAAAAATAATGCATAATAAAAAATAATAAACAAACAAACTTATAACTAATTATATTTATGTAAAATTACTGGAAAATTGACGTATATATCGAACTCAAATTCAGATAAGCCCCTGTGGTTTGCTCTATGAATCTATTAAGCCCTTATACTATTTTTTGACTCTGTTAAGCCCTTATAGTTTTGGTTTTGATTCTATTTAGCCCTTTTAAGCCCTTATACTATTTTTTGACTCTGTTAAGCCCTTATAGTTTTGGTTTTGATTCTATTTAGCCCTTTAGTGATTTAAAATCCCAAACAGCAGTAAAATTAAAATTTCGGTAAGGGCATACCTGGAATATTGTGAAAGTTCACGTGCAACACACGTGCTTTAAGCATTCCGCTCTCTTCGCTTCTCCTGAGCTTTGATCATTTAATTCAATTGCATTGAACGTGGATCTTATAGGTGAAATTCAAAGTAAAAAAAGCTTATAAAAAAGAAACAAGAAAAAGAAGCATACCCATAATCAGAGGTTGAAAATTCATTGCAAATTCTATTTTCACATCAATTTCTAACTAATGTCACTTGCATCAAAAACATGGATGCAGATTGATCTGGCCAGTTACAGAATCTCAAAACACATTCTTAAACCAAAAAAACCTCCATAAAAGGCCAAAGAAAGAAGATTCAAATAAAAAAAATCTACTAAAGTTCATAAATAACACAAATATTAAACACTAGAGGTTCATAAAGAGACTGACAAATGCTAAATTCTTGGTATTCTGCTCCAAATAAGTTTGCCAGCTCTTCCTCTTGATATTATCGGGTTTGAAGGAGGTTGCTCCGCTTGTGTCACACATTGTCCATCTTCTGGTCCAATAGGAACATTAAACCCCATGAATACCTCGTTACTTGCATTTTCATATGCTTCAGCCATTGCTCCTGTCCGATCATTTTTCTTGAGTGGACATGTTCTTTGGTTATGTCCGACCACCTTGCAGACTTTACATGTAACTGTGTAACCCTTTCTTGATAGCTTTGAGCCCTTGGCAATTGCTTCTTCAGGATCTTTTCTCCTCTTCTTATTATTTTCTTTATCCTTAGACTTTTCCGTCATAGGTGGCAACAAAGGTTGAAGTTTTGAATGAGGCCAATGTCTCATTCCTCTGATTGGATGCAAAACTGGAGTGTAGGCTTGTATATACTTTTCTTTGGTGAACCACTCTGCAACAAAATCTTCAGGGTTGGCCCTCATCGCATAAATCACTGCCACTGCATGGCAACAAGGAATTCCACTGACCTGCCATTTGTAACAGCTGCATTTTTTGGTATTTATATCAACAGTAAACTGATCTCCGTTGCAGTGAACTTCCATTTCTCCAACCCCTGAAGGAATTGCTTTACAATACCTCTGACCATCTTTTGCTACCTCAATCTTCTTTTGTATTTTAGGCATCAACTTGAAATTTCTCCGGAATGCAGGCTCATTCCTCTTTTTTTCCAACCTTTGCATCAAATATCTTCTAATGGACTCCAACAAAGTGATAATAGGCTTCTCCCTTGCCTCCCTTATACATGAGTTAAAGCACTCGCTTATGTTATTCAACAATATGTCACAACTTGCTTCCAAACCAAATGCATGTCTGGACCATTGGTGGGCAGGCCTCGCATCCAACCATTCTCGCGCTTCAGAGTTATGAGCCTTGATTGCATCCATGTAGGAATTAAAATCAGCCTTCATTATTACCATAGCAGCTCCCCACAGTTGATCCTTCAAGTACTTCCCCTGGATAATGTACAATAATGAGTAAGCATGCATTCGTATAAAGCATTCATTTTGTAAGAATTCATGTAAAATGAAGTACCTTGAAACTCTCCTTAAAGTTTTGGTACAGATGCCTAACACAAAACCTATGAGCAGCTTCTGGTTGAGAATCTCCTACTGCTCTAATTAACCCCTATACATGTACAACAAGAAGTTGGAAAAATATTGATTTAGCATGAAACAATAGGAAAGATAACTTATTAATCAAATCATATACCTTTTGTTTGTCACTCATATAAGTCCACCCTTGCCCATCTCCACTGCCAATGTCTGCAACCAATAATTCCATAAACCACTCCCATGTAATGGCCCTCTCACCCTCAACAATTGCAAAAGCAAATGGATACATACAATTATTGCCATCTACCCCACAAGCTGTAAGGATAACACCCTTCATGTTTCCTCTCAAATGGCATGCATCTAACCCAATAAATGGTCTACACCCATTTTTAAACCCATCCCTCAAAGCTGAGAAACATATATAAATCCTTTGAAACCTTGCTTCATTCTCTGATTCAGGATAAACTTTCTTCACTTTCACAATGGTCCCGGGATTTGATTCAACTAATTCATTACAATAATCGTACAACTTTTGGAATTGTTGTACTTCAGAACCATTAATTTTTTCTAAACACAATGCCCTAGCTCTGCAAGCTGTACTCTTTGAGATTTGAAAATTAAATCTTGTGTGTATGTCTTCCATAATATCAACTGGTCTTGTATCTTGTCTGCGTAGTACTAACTCAAAACAGTTTTCTGCAACCCATTTAGTCGTGCATTGTGTGTTGTATCGAGTCCTAATGCAACTATGTTTAGCATCATACCTTTTTACTTGCAATGTTGTCTGATCTTCCCCGTGTATGGCAGAGGCATATAGTTGCCACTTGCAATCACCCCAACATATCAATCTCTGTCTCTTTGGTTCATTCTTTTTATAACGCACACTATAACCTCCCTTCATTGCATAATCCTTCACTGCATTTTTAAATGTCTTTAAATCAGAAAATATTTGGCCAACTTCAAATTGTGGTATTGGTCCATCATCAAAACTAAATTCAGAATATCCAGCATTCTCCTGCTCATCATCTGATTTTAGTGGAGACTTCAAATTGTCACTGTCTGCATAATCAGAGCCAAAATTATATCTCATTGCACAATTGTCATTTGGTTCAGCCTTTCCTCTGCTTTTCTTCTTTCTCTCATTACCTCCTTCCCCATCTCCATCAACTGCATTCTTATCATTGTGGTTGTCCAGATTTATCATATTAGTCTCACTAATATTATCATCTTCGATTTGTCTACACCAATCCAAATCTCCTACAGTTTGATCCCAATCATAGTCTAGTATCTCCATATCTTCACTCTGTATCAACACATAGTCATAGTCTAGTATCTCTGTATCTTCACTCTGTATCAACGCATCTTCTTTACTACTACCACTGCCATTACCTCTCGCTTCCATCTAAACACATTAGAAATACAAACAAGAGAAATCAAGGTATGGTCATCAAATATTCAAAAACTTGCAAATGAAAAGGAATATGCAACATGAATTTAACCTTATTTATTCTCTGATAAAAAAATTACATTATAATGAAAATTTCAGAAACATCATCATAAAGAGTTTATGGAAACTATGAAATAAATTATGCAAAACCTATGTTAATTTAAGCCCAAAGTTAAGAACTTTTCTCAATTAATCAGTTCAAATCAACAAAAATTTCTTTTAAATTTAACAAAATTAACAAACGACCAAAAGAAAGATACTAAGTGTATGAGTAAACATAAATACCGAATTAGGGATCACCAAAATTACCTCAAGACAGGAACCCATCGCCAATGTTGAACTTTGATTTTGCCCTAATAATCAGGAGCGATTTTGCCATCACGAGAGGAAAGAAGCCGGAGCAATTTTTCCCTAATAATATTTTTAGATTTCTCCTTATTAAACGATCATAATATGACTACTTTCGCAATATTCCAAGTATGCCCTTACCAAAATTTTAATTTTACTGGTGCTTGGGATTTTAAATCACCAAAGGGCTAAATAGAATCAAAACCAAAACTATAAGGGCTTAACAGAGTCAAAAAATAGTATAAGGGCTTAATAGATTCATAGAGCAAACCACAGGGGCTTATCTGAATTTGAGTTCCGTATATATCATACTTATCAATGTTTTAAAAAGCTAACACCTAGCCTATCTGGATCTCGGCAGAATCTTAACCACCCACTTAGGTCTTGGGAGCGCCTAGGAAGCATGAGTCACTTATGCAGATTACACCACTTAGGTCTTGATTGTGATTTTCCTTGTTGTAGCCTCCACATTTTTCAACCACCTCCGAAATCCTCTAGCCTCGTCGACTAACTATGAACACCTCGTCTATCTCCGACTTTCAAAATATCTTCTCCCCCACCACTTAACAAAGAAAGAAATCCACCTAAGCACATGGGCGGTAGGCACCAATCTGGTGCCTAGCGATGTCTAGCACTTCCTATAACATTGATATTTGTTATCAGTTATTATAACTAAAAAGTAAAAAATAAGAAAATTGCCTAGGCCCCGCCTAGGTTCTAGGCATCGGGTTCAGTGCCTAGACGGCCTAGCGCTTTCTGCAACCTTAATACTTCATGGAAGATACTAGTGGAATTAAAATTCTTCTTTTGCATCGATGGGACTCATTTTGTTTTAAATTTGCTTTCAATTAAAATGAAAACAAAATAGTTAAATTGATTTTTTAATCATTTTAAGGAAAAACCTAAAGGTTGGAGGGAAATAGACTATTTCTTTTTTCCTAGGTGTAAGCGGGGAGAGTTGAGTAGGAAGACTGAGTGGAAAACACAGGGGTCTGCCAGAGAGTTAAAAAGATGGAACCCTACTAGAAATTTCGATCAATAATTGCCATGACAGACTCTTCTGCACATAGAATATGGGTACCATTAATTTTGTATCATTGATTATAACTTGGTTTGTGTCTGTATTTCTTCCTATATTTTTAGTGATTACTCTTGACTTGATTTTTTATGTGTTATTTATCGGAATACATATATAGTGCTCCTATAGTTAAACCATTTTCCACTTTTGTAGTGTGGGGGTCCAATTTGTTCATTTCATATATTGAACATGCAAGTATAACACCAGGGGCAGTTGCCGTTTAAAAATTTAACAAGCTCACAAAATAAATCTTGTATGTTTCAGTATAATATCATTGAAGAAGAAATTGTCAAGAGAACTGTAGGAAAATAACTCAGTTTTTTCTTCACCTGCGTTGCAGATTTTGATCCTTCACATCGTTTTATAGCTTGAAATTTATAGAAGGTCTTGGTAGAAGAACTAAAGCCTTTAGTTTAGAGTATTGTTCACAGTATTTCTTTGCATTGTGAGCTTGAGCTTTTTAATCACTGCCTATGCATTTTAGCTTACGATATTTGAGCAGTCTCATTTCTTTCAATTACACTAGTGCAGTCTTTTGCATCAAATTATGGTTTGCAGATTAGATGTGTAAGTTCTAATTTGGATATTATAGTCTATAGCCAAGTGCGATAAGGTTAGTAGAAAGTCCTATGTGTTAGTCCCATGTAGATTTACCGAGGTCAGATGTTTTCAGATTGCCTGAGTTGTATTTTTGAGAAAAAGGTCATAAGGTACCCAAGAGTTGTAGATGGAAGGATCTCTCTTCCATAATGGCAAAAAGAACTATGGTATCACATTTCACTTTGATTTAATTTTCCTTAAAGAGAGGCTTGTTTTGTTTGGTAGAATGTATTTACAGACTTCTTGTTTGTGGGAGCGAAAATTCTTCCTGTTCTAGTTATGATGAACATGTTGTGCGTGTAGTATGCAGACTATTAAGCATTAAATATTTATGTGTTGCTTGTTGCAATTTTAAGTAATTTTTTATAATAATTTTGGTGTCAGTGAACATAACATATATATTTTGCCTAATATTTTTTTGGGACAAGCTAGATTAGCTTAACCTTCACGGATTGTGGTAGTGTATATAAACTATTCAAACTATTTGTTAAACTATATTTCACTTCCGTTAAATTGGTGTGAAAGCATATAACATACCTGCTATCATTCTTGCTTAACATGTTTCTTTTTAAGTTTTACTTGTTGTGGCTACTAACTATTGAATATTGATCAGATAAATCATATCGATTCATATACCATGAAATCCAAGGATAGCAAATAAACAACTCCTGATAGTTAGACATGTGGTAAATGCATTTGATGGTTGCCATTCACATTTAGCACATGGTTTTTGACGAACAATCGGTGGTCCTAAACATAGTTGCATGGAACCCATTCGTTCCTGTTCACGAAACGGGTGGGAGCATAATATGTCACTCATTAGGAATCGGATACGAGGGAGGGTATGCTTATCCGGTATGCCAGGGAACATGGTATGTTTTAAGCTCGGTTCTTAAATGTAAGACTTGAGATTTTGACGGAGTCAAATTTGAGAAATATGCTAGCTGATATTGGTAACGGTAAAAGAACCTTGAGAATCGTATAGCAATTAAGGTATGCATATTTCATTTGCTTGATTTCTCACATTTTTTTGTTGTTTATTCTTTGGAAAAAGAGCTATTTTTGTTCAAAATTTTAACAGCTTTGAATTATAAATCGGGTCGTTGGAGTCGGTGAATCAGGTCGTGTTTCATCATGAATTCAGGACGATTGTACCCGGTTCGCGGTTCACTATGGTGTCACTATGGTGTCCTATGTTCCCGACTTCTGTAGTCCTATTTCACTTCTATATACCATGTATGGAGGATCAGATTGTATATGAATACTTAGGATTTTCCTAATAGGTGGCATTGATTTTACTCTTTTCTATTCTTTAGACTTAAATGCTATATTATGGCTTAAATACCACCAATTTCTCCTGATACCTACTAGGGCTTAAATGTCATTATTTGATTGAGCAATTAAAAAATAATTTGCAAGCTTAAATAATATGAGTTTCATTTGATGAATCCTACGACTACCGGGAAATAAATAAATTGTTAATTAGGTTCACGATACACAAAGCTTAACTTAATCAATAATTAAGCTCAACATTAGTTATATTCGGATACGTAACAATTTAAAAAATTAAAGATATAAGCATATATTATAATAAAAAAATCCATGCTCTCCTAGTGCTTCAAAAAAAAGAAAAAGGATTTAAACTTTCACTTTCACAAGAGATCTCTCCCTCGTAAGAGCTCCTTCTACACCCTTCTTTCTCCTTCTACACCCTTCTTTCTACATGAAAAATATATGTTTCTCATCTTCTTTCATTGATACTCTTAAAAGATAAAACAAATTTTTCCTCTTCATGAGATAATAACTCATGATTATGCTTTGCAATGAACTCAGTTGCATACCACACTTTAGGAAAAATTTCTTGATCTTTTCAATGTAATACTCATATGAGCTATGCATAGACACTTAAAAAGGCAATTTACAAGAGTAAGGGGAATCTTGTGGGAAATAAAAGTTATATCCCATTTTTCGTTATGAAATTTTAGGAGAGCACATATTGTGTTATTGCTTATATTTTTCACTTATTCAAACTTTATGTATTTGAATCTAATAAAGTTGTGTTTTATTGTTAGTTAAGTTAAACTTTATGTACTGTGAATCTAATTAGTAGTTTAGTTTGTTTATGGGTTTTCATATGGTCCACAAAGATGGAACTCAGATTGTCCAACCCTGAAAATTATTTGAGTACTCAATTAAACGATGACATTTTAAGTCATATTGGGAATGAGTAGAAAGTGGTGGCACTGTGGCATTTAAGTCAGAATATTGGCATTAAGCTAATAAGTAAAAATAGTGGCATTTAATCCATATAATATACAAGAAACCCAAATAGTTATGCATTTATACAATAAAATATCCATGCTACAAATGAACGAGAAATATTTAAGTTTGTTAGATGTTATTAATTGTTTGTGCATTTGGGTTAATATCTATTATTTCCTAAGTACTTCAAATCAGAAGTCATACGTGTACCCATACCGAAGCTACTTGGACACTTCTTGAACATATGCATACATTTATTTAGCTGTATGCTCAATTACTTAATACATGTTTTAATTTAAAATAATTCTCATACACTTCTTGACTTATATTCTACACTGAACATCTATTTCTTAATACTGATCTTATGTAAATTGTTAATTGTAATACTTATAAATATGCATAACATACATATATATACCAGTGTCGCCATACCGTACCTTTTACGAATTTGTTGTGTCCCGTACCCGTACTAATACCGTCACCTAGCAACTTAGGTTAGTATCCATATCTGCTTAGGTAAACCCTCCTAATATTTATTTGAGAGGTTGTAGGATTATGAGAATGATAACTTATTCTTCTTTCTCTACATGCATCAAAGCCTACTTCTTGATCCCAGAGAACACTCTTTTTAGACATCGAGACCAATGAGACCGTAAGCACCGCCTCCATACTTCACCTTAGCGGCCTCGACAACAACTTAGGCTTTAACATGAGCAATTTCGTTTGAGTTCTCTTCAAATCTAGTGAGGTTATTGATTCCTTATTCTTCTTTGGCAAAAGAATCAAAGTTATTGGTCATTCAATGAGAATAACTGAAATCATTTGTTCACCGTGAACAATAACTATTGTAAACAGTACCTTATGATACTGTTCATGTGAACAATAGTTTTGGTTGTTTGTTGACTCTTCTACAACTTCTCTAATTTCTTATCAGCAATGTTCCTTGATGTTTAATATCCATCGTTAAAGGGTGCAGAAATTAAGATCGAGCAGGTGAGAAACCGATTGGCCGATTTTCTTTACCCCTATTTTGCTTCTT